GCTGGAGGCTTCTCTATCTGCAGCTCCTCCTGCTCGTGCTTGCTGTCTCTCTCTCTCTCTCCCAAATAAACAAGTAAAATAAAAAAAAAGATACAAAAAAAAAAAAAGATACTGAAGAAGGAATACAGTTTTATTTGCCTTGGAAGAAACAGAACAGTAATAACAAAAGAGAACTTCTGCAAGTTACAGATTTGTATGCTCTGGGATGGATTTATGGCAAGTAGACAACTGCTCTTTTGGACACACTCATGATCCTGGTGACACTGTTAGTGAAAAGGACAGGACAAGTAATGGATTGACTGTCCTCCTTTCATCCAAATGACTCTGTGAGGCAACTGTCAAGGTCTGTATGGAACAAACTTTTCTAGAAGCAACTGCAGAATAATATTGTGTCAGTGAGTCATCATAAAAACAACAGGTAATTTACCACTTAAGCTTTCTCTTTTCAGCTCTAATTTTTAATGTTTTTAATTTTTTTTTAAAGATTTCGCTTGTTTGTCAGAGAGAGAAAGAAAGCGTGAGCGAAAGCGGAGGGAGCGTCAGGGAGAGGGAGAAGCAGGCTCCTGGAGGAGCAGGGAGCCCAATGTGGGACTCAATCACAGGACCCTGGGATCATGACCTGAGCCAAAGGCAGACACTTAACTGACTGAGCCACTCAAGTGCCCCCGTACTTTTTAAAGACTGTATTTCCCATTGTGGGAACATACCATTTGGTTGACCAGATTAAACTGAGCTTACCTGAAGATTCCAAGCCTGCTATTTCCCTTCGGTGTGATTCTTCTTAGGATATTCGAATGCTGGACTATCTGGCGCAGAGACGTTGTCCTTCTTGGGCATTTGGAAAACAGGGCTGCTCTTGATTCTATGCCATCCCAAATGTATGAACCCAACTAAGGGTATCATAACAATCAGAACTTTATAGTTGTTCCAAAAGTTCTGAAAGCTCATAGTACTTTAGCTTCAGTGCACCTAGGAAAAGGCCAATAGGCAAAGAAGATAAGAACAAAAAACAACTCCCTCAAGTTACATCTGTGAACTGCCACAAGTAGAATAAAAGTTGACTCTAATAAAAGTTGACTATTAAACATTTTTGGGTACAATATAGTGTAATATTAATTAACAAAAAAGGATAGGTTATAGGCTCAAAGGGAAAGCGGGAAGTCAGGTTTGAGAAACTTATAAAGCAATACAAACCTTTAGTTGAAAATCGTTAAAGGAGCCAAATCACCAGCTAGAAAAGCTATATAAGTCTTTGGAAATCCTCAGGCATAGATGTCATTTTCTTTATATAATTAATTATACAGTCTCTGAGCCACAGTAAAATTAGACTTAAAAAAATACATTTAGTCAGAATTTTAACAGAAGAATCAAATGGTAATCCTTAAGTATGCACTAAGAATTTAGATTTTGTATTCCAACACATGTAAGTGACAGTGTTTCAACTGAGATTGGGACAGTCATGCATGGATTCCAACTGAATACTGGCATGGACTCTGGGTTAGGAGGAATTAATGCCATTTCTATTTATGTTCTGAAGCACAGGATTTTAGTGTTTACCTTTACTACTAATAACTCTACCCTACAGGGTTTACTCTTTACCCAGTTTATACAGAGAAACTGGGGGTAGTAACCTGCCTGTACTTTCAAAGGTAGGTTGTATTAAAAAAGATTCCTTTGGGCACCTGAGTGGCTTAGTGGGTTGAGGCCTTTGCCTCCGGCTCGGGTCGTGATCCCAGGATCCTGGGATCGAGCCCCACATTGGGCTCTCTGCTTGGCGGGGAGCCTGCTTCCTCCTCTCTCTCTCTCTCTCTCTGCCTACTTGTGATCTCTGTCAAATGAATAAAAGAAATCTTTAAAAAAAAAAAAAAAGGATTCCTTTCCTCGGTCTTTGGTTTGGAAAGCATGATGGTACAAGAAGTCTGGTTTTGATGATCTGCTGGGTTTGGGAACTCGAATCTAGACAACCTCTAAAGACTAATTATACTTTTTAATTTAAGGGATGCTCATTAGGCTTTAGTGATTAGCTTATAGACTTGTAATGCTATGAATGGGCCCATTTTTAAAGTTCCTTTCTGAGCACAGAAAGACAGTACAAACTGCTCCATCATCTATGGAATATACTAAGAATTAGGTTCAATTGCATATATATGAGTTTCAATATCATGCAATCGTTTACATTACAGTAACTGTATGACTGTCACTAGAAAACTGTCTAAACAGAACTTTTACTTACTCTTTCCCCTTTAAGTCAAGATTAAAATATACTGCTAATGAGTTAAACACCTTAACTGTCTCAGTGTTCTACATATATTATAAATAAATGGGGGCACATGGGTGGTTCAGTTGGTTCAGCATCCGACTCTTGATTTCCACTCAGGTTATCATCTCAGGGTCGTGAGATTGAACACTGTATGGGGCTCCCTGCTCAGTGGGGAGTCTGCTTGGGATTCTCTTTCTCCCTCCCTCTGCCCCAACCCCTGCTCTCAAACATGCTCTCTAAATAAATCTTTAAAACAAAACAAAACAAAACAAAATTTAATCATTTCTTTGTACATATATCATTTCTAGCATTAGAAACCACTTATCCCAGTGTCTAAATTCACATTTTATAAGGACTTTGTTGTAAAACTTACACTACTAGATGGAAAAAAACCAATGGTCTACTTTGCAGCTGCAAGTATTTTATGCCTTTTTCCTGTGTGTTTTTTTTTTGAAGAATTTATTTGTCAGAGGGCACATAAACAGAGGGAGTGGCAGAGGGAGAAGCAGACTCCCTGCTGAGGAGGAGGCGGGTATGGGACTCAATCCCAGGAGCCTGCGGTCATGACCTGAGCCAAAGGCAGCCACTTAACCAACTGAGCCACCCATGTGTCCTGCCTCTTTCTGGTTCTAAAGTCCTCTTGTATCCTATGTACTTTTTGCAACCTTTAGGGACCATACCTCTTATTGACATACTTATGTTCTATCTTTGGAGAAAGCCAATCACAATTAACTGTACCATTAAATTTCATTGTGAAGCCCACTGTACAAAATGCTTTTGAGATTTGAGGATACAGTAAAACCCTGGGTGACTGGAAGTAATGAGGGAAGAACTATAGTAAGGATTATTTCACAGAGAGACAGAGGGACAGGGGCTGTACCAGTTAACTGGCTTGTGTTGACTGATGTGATGTTTTGTCCACAAAATATCTTCAATTAAAGGTTTCAAAGATACTGTCATTCATATTTGGTCTCATCAATACTTAAGGTGACTCCAACACCTTTGACACTCTCGATGTGAGGTTATCAAGTCATATTACTTTTTTTTAAAAGATTTTATTTATTTATTTGACAGAGAGAATCAGTGAGAGAGGGAACACAGCAGGGGGAGTTGGAGAGGGGGAAGTAGGCTTCCCCCTGATCAGGGAGCCTGACGGGGGGCTAGATCCCAAGATCCTAGGATCACGTACTGAGCTGAAGGCAAGACACTGCTTAATGACTGAGCCATCCCGGCGCCCCAAGTCACATTACTTTTAATGGATGGCATCTCTTCTATTCACAGTTTACTCCTCTGATCACTAACCTAATTCAGTATTTGTCAGCTTTTTCCTGAATTACAAACTTTTAGGGAAAGAGCTTATACAAAAGAGAGTTAGCATCAAGTTAGCTGACTCTTTGGGTTGTCCAAGAGTTAAGGACAAGGGAGGCATTCCATTTTATTTACATTGTGTTTAACAGTCTATTATTTGTTTCCATTAGGATGACTTAAGGAGCTATACATCTTTTTCTACATTTGGGCTTGGTTAAATCTGGGAATTATCTGTTTTGGTTGAAAACTCATTATTGGCCATTATTACTGAGGCCCCGTAACAGACTTTCTGGTTAGTAAATGATGTAGACTGATCTAATGATTAATTGCTTTAATGTTCATGCAACAAGTACATATCCCCATTTCCTCAAATTCTCTATGTCTCATATATTGATTTGGCTAATGGGAGTGGGAGGTAGGTAACTATTTTCCATTGATTATTCTGTTGTACTCTGAGATGCTTAGAAAATGATCAGGATCAGGATGATAAAGCTTTTTACTTTATAAGATACTTTTAGAGTTTTCACATTTAATCCACATAAAAACACTACCACATTGTATGTATAATAGCCCATCTCCATCAAGCCAGATGGGAACTAGCAATCTTTTAAAATGGTACAGTAACTTTAACCTCTTTGATTTAATAGTTTTCCTGCACATCACATGTATCCGATTACTGCCTGAAAGAAAAACCAACTTCCCAGAACAATACACATTAGACTTTACTAAATAAGGCTCATTATTAGTTTTAAGAAAAAGACAGCATAGTTTTGAAATTTAACATTTCATGTAGTAGTGAGGTAATGTGTTCCTTATTTTGTTCATATCTTCTTATGGATCTTTAAAATACAACCAAACATATTTTGGGGATACAATTTTAACACCTTTTCTCAATTCTTCTGTGGGACTTTTTTTTTTTTCAAAATGAAAATTAGCATCCTGCTATTTCTAATATAATATAGGTTTGCTTTTTAAAGTTAGAAAATATAGAAATAAGGATAAGAATGCTAAAAATGTCATCTTTTTGGTTTTGACAAAAATGTGACAATTTACTTGCTGTTTTATAATCTTTTCTTCCCCCAAGAATATAAATCTTCATTATCATTTTTGATAGCTGTGTAGTTTTTTATTATATGGAGATACGCTGATTTGATGGATCTCTGATAGAAATTTGAGATTTGTTTCAATGTTAATTTTATTGCTAAATATGCTATGGCTACAAATATTCTTGTAAATATTCTAGAGTCCTTGCTTACAGTCCCTAAATGCTGCTTCTCAGGATAATATAAAGAATTACCACATTTCTTCATTAACTCATTTTCCAAATGAATTTACGCGTTTTTTTAAAACCTTGACTTTTACAAAGGTTCATGGTACTGAGCATAAGGGATACTGAAATTCAATTTGGGAAATTAAGCTAAATACAACTTACCTTGAGATGGTCCTTCCCTCAAAACACTTGGCAAGTCATTCCAAGTGAGATGGAACTATTTACTGACACCAGAGATTCCGGAGTCTGAAACAAAACAAGAATGCACTCAGAATGATCAGATTTGATGAGCAGTAACAGGTAGGTCCCTAAAAATAAATTAGTCTTTGTTATTTATTCACTGAGCTTTTCAAGTGTGCTTGGAGTAAAGCAGCAACAGAAACAAGAACATAATGATTTTTCTTCATCCTTTACCCCTTTGGTACCTGCAGCTGCCTTTTTCTTATCTTTTCTGAATCTTCTTTAAACGTACTCCTAAAGAAACAAAGAAGGTATGGAACTCTTGGAAAGATGAGAGAAAGGAAGAGTTACAAAATTACTAAGTTTAGGTCAAGAAAAACAGCGTTTATAGTTTTATTCATTGAAGTGCCTTCTGTTAAGTTTAAAATATGTTTAGAGACAAACTTTATTTATTATTTTTTTTAAGATTTTTTTTGTCAGAGTGCATAAGCAGGGGGAGCAGCAGTCAGAGGAAGAAGCAGGCTCCCTGCTGAGCAAGGAGCCCACTGTCGCTGGGATCATGACTTGAGCCAAAGGCAGAGGCTCAGCCAATTGAGCTACCTAGGCGTCCCGTTTAGAGACAATCTTAACACAGATTAAGCTTTCATATACTCTTCTTTCCAAAATACGTACCCTGCATTATTCCAAAGGCTTCACATTTTTAAACTCGTTTTGTTTTCATAGCAGTTTTATGAGGCCACTTTATAAATGAGGAAACACTAAATGATTGATTCCAAGATTATTGTCATTTAACTGGCATTCAGCTTGGATTTTGGAGTCCTAAAAGTCTTGGCTGGTATTCTTTTAGGCTATTTTCCAGAGTCAAGAATTAGTGACCCAGCTTTGGCAGTAGAGTTAATCAGAATTTCCAGTGCATGATAATGGATAAGAACATTCTGAGTGCATCGTGCACACTTTTAAGAGTCACTGAGGTCACCTATCCTAATGTATTAAGCCTGTCATGTTCTTCTGATTCTCATGTCAGGTATGTAAGAGGTTAACAGTGGTCTTGTGTCAACTTGTCCAAAATTAGTCTGTATCCTCCACATACACATCTGTGACCTACTAATAGTTGAGATTAGCTGCATTAATTTTAGTTCAGTTTCTTCAGCTTAGTTCCATATACAGAATGAATAATAAGAGTTAATGAACAGAATGGGGAGAAGCTTGCTGTATTTCCACCTTAATAAAATAACTGTAATCTCCTCAGTGCACATAAATATCAAGGCTAAGAAAGGAAAACACTGAGATATATTACTTCATACCACAAATATTGTTTAAAGTCAAGGTATTACTGTGTCTAAAGTAGCAACTTTCCCTCCCCCTATTTTATATTACAGAAATTATTATCTCTTCAGTTTCTACCACTGAGACCTCTCACAGGTTTGCTAACAAATATAATATATATATATTAATATATATTATATATATTAATATATATAATATAACATTGCAAGCTAAGTGAAGGTTTCTAGATGACAGAACTGGACTGTAAAGCAAAGGACAGAAAGACAGGTAGGCTTCCTACAAAATCCTAAACAGCCGAGCTCTAGCTATCAGTTTACTCTGCCCATGTAGCATCATGTCAATTAAAATCATCAAGTTTTGTTATTGGCCATTACTAAATTAGGCCTACAACAACCTGGATGCAAGAAATATTCTAGAAAAGGTTTATCATTTTGCCTACTGGGCTTGCGGGGCGCCATCTGCTGGTCTTTTGGACATAGTGTAAGGTAGATTCTTTTCAGGTTTCCATTACTGCTCTGCTAAAAGTATTTGAAAAATAGTAATTTTTAAAAACTTCCCTGAATATAATTTAAACATGAAGAGGACATTAGACAGAATATTACACAATCAATTAGCCCAGATCTTGTGACTGTGATGAAGTTTACTGGATCTGTATAATGCCTTTTCTTTTATGACAATGTTGGCTTAGATGCTTGAGAATTCTTCATTTCTGAACTCCAATCTCTGACGCTAAAAATATCCCAAGTTTTTAATATGGCAGTTCAAATGTTGGCACTTTTTGTGTACACATTAGAAGGTCTGTGTACGGTCTTCATGCTTATTCAACTGATTGGCATACTAGTGAGACCACCAGTTTCCTTTTTTCCCATCTTCTATCTTTATCACCTAAAATAACAGTTTTGCTGAATTTTCGTCTTGTAAAAACACACACAATCAAATACATTACTATCGGGCTGTTGAACTGAATGGATCATACCTGAGTTCTAAAGTTTCCATTTGGCAAAATCCTACCACATTTCCCTCCCCACCGCCTCAAGGTCAGCTTGACCTATACCCAGTAGCTATAGTGCTGACAGCACAGCTGGTCAGGAGTAGTCACGAACACAGTGAAGGCCAACATTGTTATGTATAAGTATTTTATGGTCTCTGCTACCTCCCCCATTACCGTGAACTCAACGTCTTTATGAATAAGTAATAAACTGAAAGCATCACTAGTTGTATATGAGCGCTTTACTAAATGTCGGCAGTCCAAAATGTGAACAGTGAATGAGTGATTAGGGACGAATGAGGATGAGAAAATCAGCTTACTGCAGGCTGTGACTAACCAGAAAGGTTGTAGTGTTGTTTATTGAGTTTATACTTATATTAAATATATTTAGATACATTCTCTTTTAAGTATACTTAATTTAAGTATAAACTCTATAAAACAACACTACAACCTTTCCATTCCCTGTTTTTACACCTGGCTGCCATTTGATGCTGAGGTTGGTGGGGGAAAAGGAGTGGGTATCATGCTGAAAGCCAGCTTGTTTCAGATTAAATGTGTAGTTAATTGGCCCTTTGGTGCTAGAGCAGTGACTATGTACCCCTAATCAGCTCTGAATCCCTAAAAAGGTGATTTCTATCTTCATCACTTTTCAAGAGCTCTGTTTTACTCTTCACCTCTGTTTCTGCAGCTAAGCTAATGGCCAGAAGAAACAGTGGCTATCGGGTATTAGCACCCTTGACTTCCCGTCTCACATGTAAAAACCCGTCAATCGCAGTTCTCATCTTAACCTTCTTCCCTGCTGTCTCTGCAGGGTTCTAACTCCATTATCCCTCTCTTACATTTCCCACCACCCACTATTTATAATGGGTCTTCTTCCTCCTCCGCAAAACCTGACCATTTTTCCCTACTGAAAAGCACCAAAACAAGTTTCCTAAAGCAACTGCCCTTTCCCTGTCTCCCTTCCAGCTGCTACACTTTTCCCAGCCACTGCCCTTTCAAAAAACGAATCTTCTCCTAGAGTCACTTCCCACTTCCATTTTCAAACTCAGCTAATCTGCTTTTGTTCTACCTTCCATGGCAACTGCTCTGACTGTGACGATCACCGATCTCTCCCTTTACTTGATCTCTGAAGCATTTTGATGTGTTCCTGAAACTCCCTTAAGTACTTGAGACTCTGGTTTGTTCCTTGTCAGTCTCCTTTAATGGTCCCTCGGTTTCCATCCACCTCTTCGTCCTTATCAAAGATCTGTCCTTGGTCGGTGTCTTCCCGTGTTCCATCCCTGGGTGGTCTCATTCACATCCAAAGCTTCTGTTACAGTACATCCATTCACGACGGTTATATCTTCAAACCATGTATCCAACTGCTATGGTTCACCTCTATTTGTACCCACAAACAGTCTAAACTCATTTCGTATACATATGAATCGTCTTTCATTCCCAAACTGCTGTTCTACCTCTATTAACAGTTTCAGTTAAAAAAATAAAATAAACTACCAAGCCTTTCAATTCAGAAGTCTGGATATAGTGGTCTCTGCCCTTTTCTTTGTATTCCTCTTCAAATCAGTCCCCCAGCCCTGCCATTTGACATGATAATTTCACATAACCTCTCCCCACAGTTACGGTCTAGATCCTTATCACTTCAGATGATGTCCTTGCTTATAATCCAAGGGGCTCTCGAAGTGTGGTCCCCTCACCAGTAGCCTTAGCATCATCAACACATGAGAAATACAAATTCTTGGGTTGCCTCTGACCTACCAAATCAGAAACTCTAAGGTGGGGTCCAGTAATCTGTGTTTTCTAAGTTAAAGTTTGAGAACCACTGTTCTAGTTTGCTCTGCATTAAATATACTCCACCCACTTAACAGCCATCTTGCAAAAAACCAAATCTGGTTTGGTTTATGCTTTGCTTAAAAGCTGTTCGTTATATATTTATATATATATATATTTTAAAATATATACACATATTTTAAAGATTTTATTTATTTGACAGAGATCACAAGTAGGCAGAAAGGCAGGCAGAGACAGAGAGAGGGGAAAGCAGGCTCCCCGCTGAGCAGAGAGCCCAATGCGGAGCTTGATCCCAGGACCTTGGGATCATGACATGAGCCAAGGCAGAGGCTTTAACCCACTGAGCCACCCAGGTGCCCCCATTCGTGATATTTTTGATTAGAAGAAGAAATCTAAAATTTCCTAATATAGCACAAGAGGTCCACCAGGATCTAGTTCCTGGTTAGTAGTTTTCAAAAGGTAAAGCAGAGCCAGTCATTTTAGTAAGAATGCACTGTCGTGTGGTGTTATGAAGGGGATGATGAACTGTGGAATCCTACTGCCTGAGCTTTCAATCTCAACCTCAGCACCTCACAACTAGCTGTGACTTTGGATGAGTCTCTTAACCTCATTGTCACTCAGTTTTATCATTTGTAAAATGAGTGTAATAATGACTTCATATCACAGGGTTGTTGTGAAGTTAGCACAATACCTGGCACTTAGTCTGGACTCAGTGATTATTAGCTATTACACTTGTTTTGGTTATTTCAAAAGGAATAGAGCCAGCCTAAAGTATAGCAAGAACAGGAGAGGACTGGAATGAATAAAGGAGGCCTGCTTCCCTGGGCAGTTTCAGTTAGTCTAGATGTGAGTAAAAATACTCCGATTCTCATGTAATAGCCTCTGAGATCTCGGGGGTTATTTTTTTTAAAGATTTTATTTATTTATTTGACAGACAGAGATCACAAGTAGGCAGAGAGGCAGACAGAGAGTAAGAGGGGGGGAAGCAGGCTCTCCGCTGAGCAGAGAGCCCCATGCGGGACTCGATTCCAGAACCCCGGGATCATGACCCGAGCCGAAGGCAGAGGTTTAACCCACTGAACCACCCAGGCGCCCTCGGGGGTTATTTTGACTAGAGGGGGCTGGATCTGTAATCAGATTCCAGGATGATTGTTATAGGAAAGGTAAACTCCTATAGTGATAGCCAGGAAAGCTAATTGTGAAGGAAACAGGAAAAACTCAGAGCAAAGCAACAAAAACAGGGTAAGTAATTTGTTTCTTGATAACAGCTAATAGAGTCCTAGTGGACTATATATTCAGAAATTTTTTTTTTTTTTAAAAAGATTGGAGAGAGAGGGAGAGTGAGCATGTTTGTTACTTAACAGCGAAGGCATTAAGTAATGATGGGAATCCCAACTGTATCCACCAAAAATTATAACTTTGGGCAAATCACTTCTCTGCTGCCTCAATTTAATAATCTATCATATCAGCTACGTTATGAAGATCACTACGTATATACTTATGTATTTACTGCTTAGTACAGTGTCTATTTTGTGGGAGGCACTCAATATATAGCAACTATTACTACTGGAAGTATATTATCTTTGTATTAATACAAATTAATAGATATAGGCACTTCTGGAGATTCCTATCTGACCAAAGCACTTGTGTTTTATCAACTAATATTGGGTTATAATTTATAAAACTGAGGAATATTGTAAAGACAGATCCCAAAACAGTGTTTCGGTCACGTAGGGCTTATCAATTTTCATTCCAAATACGTGTGAGATTGATTCTATTCAAATGTTTACTTAGTCTCTGTTAGGTGCTAGCAGGACATTAGGCTGGTGGCGGGGGTGGGGTGGACGTTGTGGGACAATTAAGATGAATAAGGCATGGTTCCTGTCCTCAAAGAGAATACAAGCTTGAGAAGAGAAAGGCAAAATCCAAATAAAACATGATTAAATGCTGTATATGAGCCAAAAAAAAAAAAAATACTGTAGAGATTTAAAGTCTTTACAAAGTTGACTAGTTTTTCAAAACTTCTGGACTTCTCAGTTTCTCCTCTATCTTCCTCTGTTAGTCTCCATCTATTTTTACGTACTCCATCTTTAGTTATAGCAGGAGTCAGTATGTATTAAAGCCAGTAACAGCCACCCACTGTAACAGAAGGTAGAAGCCATTTGTTTTCTTTCTCCATTATATTCTCAGTACATAACAAAAAGTGGAGCATCTTCCTCCCCTTGTCTTACACAGGGTGGCTCATTCTTGCGCTTCAACTTGTTCAGATGTTCTACCCAGAGACTTTCTCTGAGCACCCAGTCTACAGTTTCTTCCCTCTCCCACCCCCATTATTCCCTAACACATCCCACCTTTACCCTCAAAGCCCTACTGTTGTGGGTGAATGCTGTGATGTGCCACCTTGATCCCCTTTAAGAATAAAAGGCTCATTTCCCTAGCTCTTGGGACTGCTGAGACAGCGCTCAGTTGTCAGTCTCCTTCCAGGACAGACAAGGCTGAAAAGAGCGGAAGTCACGCCTTCTTTTCAGGACAACAGGCATCCAATGACTGTCCAGGTTATCAAGGTCTGGCCTTTCCCTCCAACTTGGGACACCCCTGAAGGGACAAACTAGCACTAGAGTTCCCTAGGGACTGCACTGCAGTTTAACTTTTTCTATCTGCCAATTCCTCCTTTATTCCTTGGTAAGATCCAAAACAGTCCTTCCTAATAAACGTCCTGCCCACAATTCTCCTTAGAGTCCGCTTTCCTCGGAACCCAACCTAGGATAATCTGGAAGCACCTTGTTCATTATCAGGGTACTTGTTTATTGTTTCTTCTTCCATCACTAGAATATAAGCCCCGTGTGGTTAGGGACTAGGTCTGTCTTGGTCACTGCTGATACTGAGTTGTATCTGCTAACTCAGGTCAGAAAGAAAGAAAGAAAGAAATATAAATTACATATATATATATATATATATATATATATATATATATATATTTTGACAAAGTGAATGAATTGAGAGCCTCTGTAACAGCTACAGTATTTGGGCATGGTCCTATTCGAGAAAAAGATGAACATGACCCAGGAGTTTTTCATCTCAAAAGGATTTCCATCCCCATAACGTCAAAAGTCCTGTGAGTCCTGCTTCTCCTTTCACACGGTGGCCACCAACCAGGCTGTACAACAGTTCTGACGTCCAGTTTCACGTCAGAGAGTGGCCCTGACCCCCCAGATAGACACGGGCGCACAGTGCCCTCTTCCTTGAAGGAGTGACCGACGAATCACAGGTTCCAGCTAGCAGGTGGAAGCGCAGGTGCAGACGGTGCTTTCACTGGGAACACCTTTTCCAGCTCCTCCACCGTGTGGCCGCGCAGATGGGAGAGGGAGGAGGGCCTGCACCTGGAACTCTACCCACACGATTGGAAAACCTCCTCGCCATCCACAATCCTTCCGTTACCAAACATTTACTGCCTATGGCTCTGTTACGGGTAGGTCTTTAGTTTTCTAAGGAGCCAGCCTCCTCTTTGTCCCCGCCCCCAAATATCCTTCAGCGAAGATACCAGTGACCTTTCGGAGAGGGGCCAGGGAGCACCAACAAGCCCACCTCCCCTCTCATCGGCTAGGCAGAAAACAGGTTTTTCCACCTGAGGTTCCAGCGCTCTCACCTGCCCACCAGCCGCTGAGCCTCCCTAGGCCGCCGCTGGCCCCAGAGGCCGAGCCTCACGCAGCCGCCGCAGCCGGTCCTAGCAACTTGGCGCACCGCGCCTGGAGACAGAGCATGCGCAGCGCTGTGCTTGGCTCCGGCGCTGCTGAGAATCCGTTTTTCCGGGTTTTAGTGAGGCTCTCAGCCCGGAAAGCGTTTGCCAGAGACCGGAAAGAGCCGGGGGCGGAGCTTATTCGGCGTCAGTCTCTGCAAAGGAGTTGAAACTAAAGAATTTAAATAACATCAAGTGGATGTGTTAGGGTGCAGTATCCGCCTTATGGCGCGCGCTTCGGAACTATTTTTGACTGAATGACAAAGTAGTTAACGATTCCCCGCAACATACTGTCCTCCCAGATTTGACCAATCACAAGGCGCCTGATTCATTTTTTTTTTTTTTGGCGCTATTTCCCCGCCCTCTTTTACGTCTGCTTCCAAAACCAGAAAAGGAATAGCTCATCACCACGTCCCTGGATCGGGTTGGAAAGTGGACATGCGCAAATGAGAGCTGGTCGCTTTCACAGAGCTTTTGCACATAGCTTTTCCTATGGGGGTTTTTGAGGAGGTCGGGAGTCCTCCAACTCTTTCGTTTCACAAAGTAGATAATTTTGGCAGTGTCTACCCATCCTGCTTCTTAGTTCCGGGACAAAACTTTTGTTTTTCTGTAGCATTCAAAAGAATTACGGAGGAAAATATGTGTATTTCTATTTTAAAGCTTATCCGGCATTATGAAAGCCACCTTTGCTTTCTGACCTTCTTTATAACCTGATTCTTGTACTTGTAATTTTCCGGTATCAAGGTGCTCTGAACCACAGAAATGTTAGGTTTTATTTTTCTTTTCTCTCGATCATCTCCGCCGTGTAGCACTATGGGTAACCGTGTTTTGTTACCTGCCAATCATATTCACGACGCTTCTAGTCTCTGAATAGCTGGCTTTGGAGGCCATTTTTATTTTGGGCTCTCTTTGAAAAATGGGCGGAGGCCATTTTTCTTTGGGGCAGATTCCTCGCTCCCTCCTGTCCCCTCAGTGTTTCGCCGCCATCTTAAGTCCTGGTTTTGGCCTCAGCAGAGGATGAGGCCGCTCAGATCATCTTGTGTTTGGGCGGCGGCGGCGTTTTTTCCAACGCGCGGGGAAACTCTGGGAATGGGGAAGTAAGGCCGAAGCTTGAATCACCAAAGCAGGTGAAGGTGGGCTTGAGAGCCCGCTCCCTGTTTGGTCTGTTTCCTCAGCCAAGTACTCCTCCACCAGTGACCCTGGACAGTAAAAAAACTAATAAAATCCCGAACCCAAACCCTACCACCGTCATAGGTAAGAACGTGGAACTCCTGACAACCTAAGTGTTCCTTCACTTGAACTATTTGCCCATCTCCTCTTCCTCCCGCTCCCCGAGGTTTTTTAATTTTGATTTTTTAGCTTTTTCTGAATTCTTTTCCCTGTGCTTTCAACTTTTTTCATTGTTTTCAAAGTGCTAAAGAGTTGTTAACCTAACGGTGCAGGAAACCTAGGCATAAAAGGGGAAAGTTTTGGTCTGGAGAATTTTTTTTTTTTTTTTTTTTGTGGGGAGGAAATGGAGTAAACTGAATGGTCCAGGTGTTTGTATCAAACTGTGGCTGTCCACAACTATTTATAGAAAAACAGTCTCTTCTCAGACATTTCTAGGTTACGACATAGGTATGGGCTGTGTTTGTATATACTGCCCTTTCACTCATTCATTGCGTTTATTGAGATTCTGCAGTAAACCAAACCAAACCAAACCAAAACAAAACTTTCTTTCTTGGAGTTTGCATTCTATCTGACCTCAAAAGCTACTAGGCTGGGGCAGGTGATATTCTGTGGTTGTTAGCACTGTTGGAAGATGACGAGTTATCCCCCTGCTTCTTCCTCGATCTCCTCACCTTCCTTTCCCCCTCCCTGCACTAGGGAGAAATTGTATTGACACTTATTTCTTGGATCCTAGATGCCACCGTAGTTGTAGGCCAGCTGGCTAATTTTATGACCAATATTCAAGTTACTTAGAGTCTTGCTCAGAGTGTGGCCTATTGACAGCATCACCTGGGAGTTTCTTAGAGACTTTAGTCTCAGATCCCATCTTAAGATTCAGTGAATCAGAATTTTCCTAGGGAGTGTACCTTAAAATTCATGGAGCATTAATTCAGGACATGAACTCAAGATATAGAATGCCTCTTTTCAACCTGTGTTTCTTGAACAGTTCACAGTATATTGTTGGTTTATTCCATGTTTTCCATGCAGTAGACATATGACATGTTTTCCTGGCCTTTTGTTTTTTTTTTACATTTGTTTGTGTTTATTTATTTTTCTAGAGAGAGGGGTAGGGAGGGGAAGAAGGAGAGAGGGAGCCCACTGCTATGCATGGAGACTGACTTGGGGTCTTGAACTCGAGCCTGAGATTATGACCTGAGCCAAAACCAAGAGTCTGACACTTAACTGATTGAGCCACCTGGCTGCCCCTTTCTTGTGTTTTTTACCCATCATCTTGATGTCTAGATAACAATTTAGTCTTCTAAAACATTGAGAATTTATCAGTCTGGTATATTATGTAACTGTTGTCATGGCAACACCTGTGTGCATATTTTACTTTTAATTTATTACAAGTTGAATTCAAAAGCCTGCACGTGTTCAACAGTTCAATATTGACTTGGAAAACCTTGGGCCGTGCTTTACCGAAGTTTTTTGTGGCATCTTGCTCTCTTCCGTCTTCCTCTAATGAGAAATGTAATAATTTAAAAAACGATTCCAGGCCATTATCTGCAGTTTTAGACCCTGTGGTTGGAATTTACGAACAAGTAAGGTCTTTTGAGAGAACAGCAAATTACGTTTATGTTTTTCACATGCTGTGTTTAGATTTTTTAAAAATCCCAGATGGATTTACTTAAAATTACTTAAAAATCAAGTAATAAATAAATTAATAAAATCTTTTTTTTTTTTTAATGCTTCCCAGCTTCCCAGGAACCAATCAACTTGCCATTTATTTGTTCTATGTGCTCAGTAAGTTGTCCAGCTTTTCTGTGTTGTCTCTTTTCCACTTATTAATTTGGAAAAGAATGAAGGTTGTATAGTTTTTTAATTTATCCTTACGTGAGTTTTTCAAAATGCAGCAAATGCTTAAGTGTTGGATAAATATAATATGTACTGCTTTTGACTGTTACGTATTGAATCTTGTGTTGTGTATGCCAGTAGAATAGAGTGGGTAAAGGAATGAACTTCAGAACCTTATGCCATGGGTTTAAAGCCTAACCTTGAACAGATTACTTAACTGCTTCAATCTCCTAAAATAGGGTTGATATGAGGGTTAGATAAGTTAATAATAGAAGATTGCTTAAAACAATACCTGGCGGGTTATTACAGCTCTGTACGTATTCATCGTTGTTTTTTGTTATTATAATTAAATCTTCGGGTTCTTAAAGTTTTGTTCATTCATGAAAATCACTAAGGGAAAAGGTATTACAGTTCATGACTTTAGGACACGTACCCGTTGGTATTACAGTTCCATGACTTTAGGACACGTACCCGTTGGGAAGAGGGGGTTGGTCTAAATGTACTAGGAAGACAAATTTATTTTTATTATTTTTTTAAAAGATTTTTTATTTTATTTATTTGACAGAGACACAGCGAGAGAGGGAACACAAGCAGGGGGAGTGGAGAGGAAGAAGCAGGCAGACTGCCAGCAGGCAGGCAGTCTGATGTGGGGCTCCATCCTAGGACCTTGGGATCATGACCCCAGCGAAAGGCAGATGCTTAACAACTGAGCCAACCAGGTGCCCCACATAGTTTTTTTTAAATGGTATTTTTCTTTTTAAACAGCCTTATTGAGGATTATAGGCATATCTTGCTTTATTGTGCTTTGCGGATACTGTCTTTTTTTATATATTGAAGGTTCAGGGCAACCCTGCACTGAACAAGTCTTTCATTGCCATTTTTCTAACAGCATTTGCTTGCTTCATGTCTCTGTGTCACATTTTGGGTAATTCTTGGAATATTTCATACTTTTTCATTATATTTGTTATAGTGCTCTGTGATCAGTGATTTCAGCTTGCTGAAAGCCCAGGTGATGGTTAACACTTTTTAGTAATAAGGTATTTTTAAATTAAGGTATATACATAGTTTTTTTCAACATAATGCTGGGCCACATTTAATAGATAATAGTATAATTTAACATCACTTTTTTTTAAGGAATATAAAACCTTATTGACCACTGATTACTGGTATTTACAATAAAGTAAACAATATACAATTGGATAACATTCTGACTACAAAGTTACTGTTTTTCCTGTTTTCTACTGAACCAGTAACTCAAATACTGAGAAGACTGAGACTACATGTCAGGAATAAGTTGGGGTAGGGATGCCTGGGTGCCTCAATTGGTTAAGCGTCTGCTTTCGGCTCAGGTCATGACCCTGCAGTCCCCAGATCAGGCCACATCAGGCTCCCTGCCCAGCAGAGGAGTCTGTTTCTCCCTCTCCCTCTGCCTCTTCGCGGGCTGTGTTCTGTCTTTCAAGCAAATAAATAAAATCTTAAAAAAAAAAAAAAAAAAAGGAGTAAGTTGGGATAAAGAAAAAAACATACAGGTCAAGAATTCAGATTATAAAAGTCTGTCCACTCATTTATTCTGGCAGGTGCTAAATTGCCAGCATCTCTTCCCATCTGATTATGGTTCGATTTTCACGAACACAGCCTTAGACATTCCATGAGACATGAGCTTTTAGGCAGTACAGGTCTCTGATAGTCCTTGAGTTTGGGGTGTTGGACTCATGCTTTTGCAGATGTATGTTTGCAGTTGTTGTTAGTCTGCTGTTAGAAGCATCAGTAAATTTCAGGACTAATAGTTGTTAGCCTCATTTTGAATGAATATTTATGATCATCACCTACCGTCAGGTATTGCTTACAGACTGGTCACAGGGATTTCAACTTCGTGAAAAGGAATGGTTCACTAGAAAGAACTTTTAAATGTCCATTTAAGTTTTGCTTACCTAATTAAAACACACCAGGACTTGTCTAGTTTTTGTCGTTTGGGTGGGGAGGTCATTGGTGTTGGTAAAATTTTCTTTCCAGGGATCTTGCAAATAAACTTGCATTTATATGACTATAGATAATGGATATGGATTCTGATAGGGCTTCTTATAAATTGTCCAATTTAAATTGTCTACATAATATTTAAATTGTCCAATTAATTACAAAACTTGAAAGATTAGGGCTTCAGGAAAAATTTCGATTTAATTTTAAGTGATTTATTTCTTTAAATTTTTTTTTTTTTTTTTTTTTTTTTTTTACTTTTAAAGATTTTTTAAATTAGCACAGAGGGAGAGGGAGACGGAGAAGCAGATCCCTGCTGATCAGGGAGTCTACTGCGGTGCTCAGTCCCAGGACCCTGGGATCATGACCAGAGCCTAAGCAGACACTTGGCTGAGCCACCCAGGCACCCCTTAAGTGATTTATTTCTTGTTACCGAAAATGGTAGCATCCCAGAAACAGGGGTTTATCCACGGTTATAAAATGTTTCCCATTCACCGCACATTGGTCCAGTACTTTGTCCACCGCAAATTCTTCAGGCTCTGCCTCTTCTACTTTTTTACTTTTTCCTCTCTCATTCCCATTTTTTGCAATGTAGTTTTTATTGGAGGCCATTTTCTTATTGCAGACTTGCATAGCTATTATTCACCCCCTCCGAGATGCTCCAGGTCCCTGGTCTTAAACATCACTTTAATAGGCACTTGAGAACCAAAACATTTATGTGATTCACTTCCTTGTGATAATCCCTTTATTGTGGTGGTGTGGCGTTGAACCAGGAGTATCACCATGGTATGTCTGGAATTGTACTACAGTAAAGTGCACATATTTAAGGTGTATAGTTTGATGTGCTTAACATGGGTATACTGGTAAAACCATCACCACAGTCAAGGTATATTCCCCAGAATGAACATACCCATATTTCCCAAATTTCCTTCTGCTGTTTTATAATCCCTCTGGCCACTCTCTTCCAGGCAACCACTCCTTTGCTCTCTGTCATGATGTATATCACTATAGGTAAGTTTGCATTTCCTAGCTTATCTAAAGGAATGCTGTTTTTGGTGGGAGTCCTTAGAGTGTGGTTTCTTTTCATAATTGAGCACGTTCTTTGTTTCCAGTATCAGTAGTCATTTTTTTAAAAAGATTTTATTTATTTGACAGAGAGGGATCACAAGTAGGCAGAGAGGCAGGCAGAGAGAGAAGAGGAAGCAGGCTCCCCGCAGAGCAGAGACCCCGATGTGGGGCTCAATCCCAGGACCATGACCTGAGCTGAAGGCAGAGGCTTAACCCCCTGAGCCACGTAGGTGCCCCAATAGTCATTTTTTTTCTTTAATCACTAGGTAGTATTTTCTTGCTAGAGGTCCTGTAATTTGTTTATACATTCACCAGTAGAAGGACTTTGAGGTGGTTCTTATTTTCATAGTACTCCTTTTCACTTTGCTTTGTTTTCCAGCTTATTTGAATTGGGGGAAAAAAAGGCCAATTATTTGGTATCCATACCTTCTGTGTGCACTGAAACTGGGAGGTGGCAATGGTAAAATGGGTATGTCGTGGGATTTTTTTTTTTTTTAACTTTTGCCTTTGTTAGTTTATGGATTAATGTTTTTTGAGTGAATCATGTTACGGCTTTTTTAAAAATGCAAAATGTGGGGCGCCTGGGTGGCTCAGTGGGTTAATAAGCCTCAGCCTTTGGCTCAGGTCATGATCTCAGGGTCCTGGGATCCAGTCCCATATTGGACTGTCTGCTCATCAGGAGCCTGCTCCCCCACCCCCCAACCCCACTTGCCTCTGCCTACTTGTGATCTCTGTCAAATAAATAAATAAAATCTTTGGAAAAAAATGCAAAATGCATGCATTGACTCTTTAGTGGGCTAGAGCTCTTGATATGTACATGCCTAGTCATTGTAAGCTGTGTTGAATCTTTAAAGCCTACTGTTTGTATATTACTTTCTGGAGATTGAAAACAATAATGGATGTACACTAAGAAACCTACCCATCAGGCAACAGAGTAGAGAATCTAAATGGAGAGTACTGCTCATTTAATATTGGTGTAGGTACATTTCTAAAGTCTTGGCTTCTGTTATAAAGAAGCAGTGCCTCCTGGTTATTATGGCATTGATGTTTTGTGCTTGAATATATTAGAGCTGGTAACTAAAATTGGATTTGACTTCTGTTAGTTATAGGATAATATATAGAATATTGCTGTTAGGATATCTTGGATATTTAAGTGTCGCTCTGTTGATTCTCTAGTTAGAAAAGTTTGGATTTTGGTTTTGCAATTAAAAAATTATTTTTAAATTTATGTATGGTAAAATTCATTGTTTTTGTTATACACTTTCATGAATTTTGACCAGTGCACTGAGTTTTGAAAGCACGGTGTCAGTCAGAATGCAGGACAAGTTCATTATCTCCCCACCTCTCCCCCACTCCCTGCCAAAATTTCCTTCTGCTGCTCCCTTAGTAGTAACTCTCTCCCATCCCCAGATTAGCAACCAAAGATCTGCAGTCCATCTCTATAGTTTTCATGTTGAAAGGATTAGATTTCAATACAGTTATGTTAATGATTATCAAAGGTATTTCGTACTGTGAAGGTGTCTGGAAGACCGTTATCAGAGTGGGGCTTGGGGCTTGCAGTTAAGAAGTGAGTTGATGGGATGCCTGGGTGGCTCAGTTGGTTGAGCAGCTGCCTTCGGCTCAGGTCATGATCCCAGCGTCCTGGGATCGAGTCCCACATCGGGCTCCTTGCTCGGCGGGGAGCCTGCTTCTCCCTCTGCCTCTGCCTGCCGTTCTGTCTGCCTGTGCTCGCTCTCTCTCCCTCTCTCTCTGACAAATAAATAAAATCTTAAAAAAAAAAAAAGTGAGTTGATGAGGTGTTCTTTGTGCCTGCGGTGTTTGTAATGATTATGGTTAACGTAGATGAGGGAACTGATGTAGGAAAAGATGTTAGAGTTCAAAGCCAACGGCCAAGGAAGAATTCTTGA